ATTCGTTCATTGTTTTTATGCTTAATAATTAAACAGCAAATATAAGTGAAAAAATAGTCATCAATTACAATGAATCTAGGCCACAGTCAAATACCACACTTGACTGGAGCAGAACAGCTCTCATTAGCACTAATGAGACACACACAGGTGAGCACAAACACATTTGTGGTAAACTACCGGAGCCTATGAGAGACAAGAGATGAAGAGAAGGATTAAAACCSTGGACAGAGTTCATCACAGAGTTGCACAAAACAAATTTGTCAGTTTTAGTTTCACTTGTTGTCCGACGAAGACCTTTAAAATGTGTCTCTTTCTGCCAGCCTGTCTAGGGTCTCCACTTTCCCTCACCCAGAGTGACATGAATGTTTTTGTACTGTGGGAAGAAGCTGTAGTACCTGGAGAAAACCCACAAACTCCACACAGATAATAAGATTTGAATCAGACACCTTGTTTAGAGGCAATAGTGTGATTGTTAMGCAAACACATTAGGATTTTAGGTCTTTAAAAAGACATCCCATCAGGGATATCCTAATCTTTCCAAAGACAAGTTGTTGACTGGAGTCTTTCTTCCTGATCATTTTTCCTATGCAAATCCTCAATGATTTTAGTCCCTCATCAAACAAAGCAGACTGAACCTCTGACGGAGGGTCATCCAATCAGACACCGGTTTGTGACTGATGTCTTGGAGCTCAGCTGCTTTGCACAAGCAAAGTTTCTGTGTGTTTAGTTCCTTGCCTAACAAATCAGATCACGTCAGACAAAAACATCGAGTCTGCTGTTTAGGAATTACAATGGAGGTAGAAAATAAAAAGAAAACTCGATGCCAATCAATATAGATTCTGGCTCTTACTTTAATACTTAGATGCTGTAAAAATCTGGGTTCAATCGACTAAAACTGACATTTTTGGCCTCATCAGAATTGTGGCTCTGCAAAGCAGTCGAAGAACAATAACGAGTAATAATCAGAGATATATATAAAGTACTTGACAGGAATAACTAAATAAWAATAAAAACACTTGAACAGAAGATGACTTTGGTAAACATTTATTTTACTGATAAGAGGGCAGAAACATAAAGGTGAGACTGTTTCTGCTCTCTGCTATTATTTATATTTCACCAAATCAGATTTTTTTTTGATCAGTCATTTATTCACACTTTTAGAAATCAAACTCATTTACGCCAAAGTGTGAGATCGTAAGGTTCCAGGTCCCTTTTCATAAACGACTACTCAATGATGAAAAAAAAAACAGCTTTGTCCTTTAGTAATAAAAATAGAACAAACAAATTTCACTGAATAATAACTATGAACAGTAAAATTTAATAACATAAGTGACAAAAGTAATAAATGCTAAGAAAATACTTTAAAGGTAAAAGTAAAGTAGACTTGATGTTATTTAGTTTAAGATAAGATGTTTAAGATATTATGGATATTTTTATTTTTATGGATTTGGTTAGCTGGTCTCTTAATAAATGTTTGGAACAAAAATTTTTTTCTTCCATGGGAGGACATGTCAAAGGTGGGACCTCTGTTCTGGATATATATCTGGATTCTGATCACTGGATTCTATAGATTGGCTTGGTGGTCTCCTGATGTTCTACAAAACAACATTGGTGGCTATTCGGGCCATTTCCTGGCTGCCTGACCAAAATGAAGAATTGCCGTTCTTTCAGCACTCAGACTTTTGCCTTGAACGAGCTGGACTCGATCTGCAAGCGGTTCTGCAGAGGGTCGCGGGCCAGCTGTGGTTCCTGGACTTTGCTGGCCAGATGGAATTGATCTTGGAGGAAACTGATAGTTTGGCTCAGCRGGATTGTCCACACTATTTGTCTGACTGGATTGGCCACATTGAGCTGTACCAGCGGACATGAAGGCAGATGGAAAATTGTTATTATCTGCCTGACTCAAAACATTCTCTTCTGTTCCCAAACAACTGATTACAGATTTGGCTCTCCCCTTAACTAAAACTTGCTAGATGTTTATGTCGACTGAGGGTCTGCCCCTCACCTCACCCCGTCTCAATCCCGTCTTCCTGGAGCAAGCTRAGGGCCGCACAGAATGAACACTTAACATCATTATTCTGAATTATGGCTGGGCGGGTTTTGGGGACTCGATTCTTTGGGCTCATTCTTCAGATATTCACACAAGTACATACAACACTCATGGCTTCAGATACACGCCCCCCTAAACTCAACTTACTTCTCTGGCTAATAAATGTGCTCTGTGCAGAGGTTTTTTTTTTATAAACACCATAGTGTGCCACATTTTGTTGATATAATATGAAAGTTTTCCCCCCTCATCTGTCCTTGTGGTTTTTAGTTTTTAAGGGTTGCACCTCCTCATGATGTCGATCCTTGTTCTGTGCAGGGGTCTGCAGCAGCATGACCCAGGGCACCTGTTCTCCTGTGTTTGTTTATGTTCTGTCTTCTTGTGAATTGGTGTTCTGAACTGTAATTACACTGTGCTCTGTGCAATGAAAATAAAGGTCAGGTCTATCTTATCTTAATACCATAAATGACAACAGTAATAAATGCTAAGAAAAGAAGGTGAAAGTAAAGAAGACATGATGTTGTTTAGTTTAAGATAAAAGTTGATGTTTAACCCTTTTAAGAAAAGATATTTTCCCAAAGGAAGTATTTTTGCCTTCTATTAACTATTTGACAAACAACCCATTTTAAGAAACTATAAAATTCAGATGTTTCTAAGAATAAAAGTTGTTTTCCAGCAAATTTCAACTCATCCTGTACTCTATTGTTTTAATAATCATATTTCTGATGGTTCTTTGTTTGAATCTACATCCTGAGATGATAAATTCTGACTTGGCAGGTATAAATGTACCCTGAACTTTGCTGATGGTGAGTGGGACTTTTCTGCTGCCCTCTTGAGTTTGTGTCTGTGTTAAGCATAGTTTAAAGAGACTAGACCAGGGGTGGGCAATTTATACTTTTAAATAAAAGACACAGAAATGTACATTTTTATTTCACTTTTCATCACTCTTGCCATAACAATTTTAAAAACCCTGAAGTGAATAGCATAATAAAAAATATTTAATAAGCACTAAAGAAAAACATGTTTTTTCATTTTTATTTAAGTAAAAAATTATATAAGCAATAAGACAGGTAGATGAAAGGAAATAAAGCATTTTTTATTAATTGTCATGTGCATTTTAAAATCAGCTGAAGACAGAAAAACTGAGGTGTTGACTCAGTGATACTGTGTTTTCACTGATGCTGTTTTCATCTGCTAAGAAAACAAAGCACTAAGATGAGTGGCACTGTCAGCAGAAGCAGGCCAGCACTTTTACAGCTCGCCCTGTTGCAGTAGTCGCCCAGGCAGCAGCTGCTTCCAGATCCAAGGTAATTTTGTAAAAGTGCAGACGAATTATCCGAGCACATAATCTTTGAGGCGCAGCCCTTCATGAGCTTCATTTCCCCTCCGACAGTCACTGAAAAGATCAAGTTTATCATGTAAATCTTGTGTTTTAATTAGAGCCTTGTTAAATGCAGTTTTTCTTTTACGTGAGGATTTGATGCAGTAGTCCTCGCTCCCCTCACAGTTCAGACCTCTGGTGCATTTTAGTCCTTCACAGCTGAAACACTTTTTGCCGTTTGGAATGAACTTGGGCTCTGATAAAAGATAAATATTTGTTGAGCTTTGTAGTACTGATGCCCTGTTGTTAATAATTTAAAATCGCTTTTAAAGTTCCTGTGACATCAAATTTTTGTAATAAAAATGAATGTATTTTTGGAAGGATAACACTGATAACATATTGTTAAAAAAAGGTTTCATGCCGCTGAAATSAACAGTTGTTGAGATATTTGCGTGTGAAGTAACAGGAAGTGATGTCAAAGGGGAATGTCTGCATGCGAACAGAGCATTGCTAACATGGCTAACATCACAGACTGTAGAGAAGAATCTGATGTCTTTAGATTATTTTAGTCACAAGCATAGAGATGAGAAAGAGTCGTAGTTCAAATAATATTGTTTAAATAAACAAAAACCAGGGAGTTTTCTTCCTTAAAGAGTTCCCCTTTTGATGTCACTTCCTGTTTCACTATAACTGAGCCAAGTTCAAAGGAAAATAAGCCATTATGTGACATAATGGGTAAAATCATGTGTATTATGCCAAGTTTCCTAATATAAATATATTTTCTTTGACTTTTTTGTATTTCATGAATGCACATGTCACGGGCACTTTAAAAAGGATTTGAGAGCATGATTATGTCTMCTTTAAAGTCAGTGTGTAATGTTTAAATTCTAACTCAGTAAGTACTCTGTATCGGTACTCAGTATTGGTACTTGGTATTGGTGAGTACCTGGACTGAAGCACTTGTACTAGTACTCACTTTGAGATAAATTAGTTTTCGGCCACCTTTAATATGTGCGTATATACTTGTTTGTTGCATTTATTCATGCATAAACCCCTTTTCTTTACCCAAATTTCCTTTCGAGGACACAGGGGAGCTGGAGTCATGGCGTGAGAGACAAGYCCATCTCTGGGACAACCCGAGACAAACAAACATTCACACTGTCACACATTAGAGTTGACTTCTTTGTTTTTACTTTGCATTGTATGCCAGATGCTGAAAAGGAATTTCCATTTTATATCAATCATATGAACAATTATTCTATTCTATTCTATTCTATTCTATTCTATTCTATTCTATTCTATTCTATTCTATTCTATTC